GAAATATTTTTCATCAATAATCCACAACATGGATAATTAATATGAATAACTGAGAATGAACATGCTGTATTTGCAACAAGTAAATAATATAGTCAATGGCTCCCTATTCTTTCTCACTTGGGCAGGGTGGAGGACGATTGCATATTTCTAGAAATAACACAATTTCTCAATTTGGTCTTGAATGAGTTTATTTTAGCTCAGTGTAGATTATGGGTCCTTCAGTTGTCAAACATGTTGCAGTCATTGTCTCTAGAATAAATTCATTGCCTAGAAAGCTGCCTTCCATGTTGACAACAAATTGAAAGCACCTACTTCCTCAAGATAGCTTAACTAGTAATTATAAAACTCTGCAAGATGCCCCAGGACCACCTTGATTTGAATGGCTTATTAGACCTTTTTTTTTTTAACCTATTAGCTTTCACTCAATCATTATTCACTCTTTTTTTTTCCTGAAATATGTATGTCATTCAAAGAAAATGGACATTGGCTGCTCATGGAACTATAGAAATATTAAAATGAGAAAAATTTCAGATGTCTAATGGCATAGTCAGCTTATTTTTTTATTTTATTTTTATTGTTAACACTATGACAGAGGTTCCCACTTCCACCCTCCTTTGCCCACCTTCACCCAGTCCCCTCTCCACCTCCCTCTGTTGTTTGTCTATGTGTTATGCATATACGTTCTTTGACTAATCCCTTCACCTTCTTTCATCTAGTCCTCCCTTCCCCCACCTCTCTGACAACTGTCCAGCTGTTCCATGTATCCAAGCTTGTGTTTCTATTTTGTTGGTCAGTTTATTTTGTTCATTAGATTCCACATGGAAATGACATCATATGGTATTTGTCTTTCTCTGACTGACTTGCTTATTTCACTTAGCATAATAATCTCCAAATCCATCCATGCTGTTGCAAAAGGTAAGATTTCCTTCTTTTTTATGGCAATGTAGTATTCCACACAAGCATCTCATTTTAGAGATGAGAATAGACAGTCAGGGACATTACATGACTTGACATGTTCTCATACTTATTTATACACATTTACATAGGTGTCTACAATATCTGAAACCTCCTTCAATAGCTTATTTTGAATATTAATTCAATATTGAAAATTTGACTTTGCAACCTATACCTTGTGTGTATATCCAATAAACAGAAATTTCCTCTTCCTTTCCTTTATTTTTAGCTATTGTTTTCTAAACTTTTCTTCAGTTCACATTTAGTGTATTAATCTACTTACTTACACATATACAAGGTATTGACCAACCACTTTTATTTGCATGTATATTATGACAGCCATGATAGGATTCCTTTGATTTTTATAATCAACTATCTCCCTGGTTACTATGCATCTGCACCTAATTTTGATCACAAATTTTTTGCTTTATTTAATATTTGTAGTAATTAATTTTAGCAAAGCAAAAATTTATTGGGCGGTTAATTAATTTCACTGAGGTTATTTAACCAGTAACTTATCTAGAATTGTCAGAATAATCTATTAACATCATCTAGAAAATGTATTTTATTTAACCACAAATAAAGTAGGACTTTACTTATCTAAAACAAATAAAATAGCATTATAGTAAAATAATCTCTGACAACTTCTAGCTAATTGCTTGACCTAGTTAATCTTGAGTATCAGTTTCCTCCTCTGTCAAATGATATCTGTACTTGAAATATTTGTCTCATATTTCTATCAATATTGAATGATAATTGTATAAAAATGCTTTATTCACTTATAATCTGCCTGACTATAAACCTACAAAGCATGGTTATATATTCATTTCTACATTCCCAGCTCTTGGCTCAGGGCCTGGCCCATGGGAAATGCTCAATAATTATTTGTAAAATGGAACTGAAATGAACGCTATAGTATCATACATTTGAGAGATAATAATATTCTTTTTCTACATAGTCTTAGGCCAGATGACAGCAAAAAGCTACCTCAGGGCTCCTTTCAGCTCTCTAACAATTTCTAAAAAAATAATAATACAGTGTTTCCTATTTCCCAAATTCAGGAAATTTGAGGGGTTCTGTTTAAGGTGTTGCTGCAATGCGTTAGAAAACAGTATATTCTGCTGTTTGGTGTGCTGGTCAAGACTCTGATTTTGATGTTGGCTCAGTCAATGATTTACTAAGTAAATTCAAAGAATCTGCTCTGCTCTCTTGTTCTCCATTTGTTCCCATCTACTCCCAATAATAACAATAATAGCGGTAAATTGCCCCAGTGCCAAAATCTGAGATAACTCTTTCCTGGCATTATCATCTCTTTAAAAAAAAATTTTTTTTTATTAATTTCAGAGAGGTAGGCAGAGGGAGAGAGAAACAGCAATGATAAGAGAGAATCACTGATTGGCTACTTCCTGCATGCCCAATCAAACCTGGAGCCCTCTAGTCCACAGGCCAATACTCTATCCACTGAGCCAAACCGTCTAGGGCTATCATCCCTTTTAATTCTCCTGTCAACTCCATGGATTTGGTGGAATTTTTATGCCCTTTTTATACAGAATGAAACTGAAACATAGAGATATGCTAGGACTACTCAGCCGGTTAGCTTCCAACCCAAGTCTGTCTGATTCAATCCTCTTAACTAAAAAACTCCAGGGACTCCCTCAGCCTGCTGCAGTCACCATCAACACTCCCCCAGACATATATTGGAGGCAAAGAGAAAAGTTAACATGAATGTAATCAAAGAATAATAATAAGTAACATGAATGGCAATAATTACCACCTTTAGATGTATTATCGCCATTAATTAATTATAATAATCTTATGAGGAAACCATTGCTATTATTGCCACTTTAAATTTGGGGGAACTGAGGCTTTTCAGGGTTAATCAATTTAGCAAAGGATATTTAACCATGAAGTTACATAACTAAAATATCACTTAGTTGATATCCTAAAGCCAATGATTGTAATTAAAGCACCAAGTTATAATCCAAAGTTTTATAAATAGGAAAAATAATCTTGACGATAGGATGCTCTTGTATTAGTAAAAAAAAATTATTTTCATAACTATAGTTCCCTGTTAAAACCTTTTCTTCAAAACTCTGAAGATATGTGAGATGACAGCAGTGAAAGGGAGCCAAGCCCCTTCTGAAAGATGGACATTTGCAAGCAGCAAAATACTGGTCTGTGACCTGGCCTATGTCCACATAGTCTACCTAGGAAGCACACAATAGAAAGTTGAGACTTTGCCAAAAGAGTCATCTCTCACATTCGTGTGGGCAGCCTGAGTCATGAAGGCAACAGGGTGTCATATGTAAAGGACAATGTGAAGGGTGTCAAAAAGTATTTCCACTTCCACCAGCTCTGGCCTTTTGCAGATATGACATCCTATGTATCTACCAAGCAAACAACCACTGAGAATCATTTCAAACAAATAAACCAACTAGTTTAAATTCTGCTTCCATCACTTACTAACAACGTGAGCTTGAACAGGTTGCTCTACACCTTAACGTCCCAATTTGTAAAATGAGAATAATAACAGTCTCCTTTATAGGGATGATTTTAGGATTGAATGAATTAATACACGTAAATCACATGTGACAGTTCATAGCATCCAATAAATGCTAGATGTGATTGTTTTATCTGTCCGTTTATCTTTATTCCTCTAGAATATCCTTTGCAAACTAAAGATTCTCTTAATAAGTGTCAAATGACATGTGCACATGATTATTCATTCAGTATTATGAACAACTGGAAAAATCTAAATAATATAACTTAATTTCATAAATTATGGTATTTTAACATGGAATGTTAACCAGCTACAATAAAGAGTTGTGAAACATATTAAGACATGAAAATATGGCCAAAATATGGGTTGAAATAAATAAAAATATGCAGAACTGTTATATTATACTACCATTGATTGAAGGAAAAAGGAGAGGGTGATGTAACTTAATATTTATACCTAATATTTGTACCTAATATTTTTATATATGCATAAAAATTATCTGGCAACTAATAAGCTAAAGGTTAAAAAGTGGCTTCTAGTTGGAAAGTGGGTACTGGGCAGATGAAGGATAAGGATGGGAGAATGGTTCATTCTGTATTTTTTGTTTCTTAAATATTTTAAACCAAATATCTCTCTTGATTAAACAATTGTTTTATTAAACTTTATTTTATATCAACAGCATTGTTATTTCTTTATCATCAGCATTTTATGCGTGTCAAAAGAGACCCTGAAAAGTTTTAGCTGAAGAAAATCGAAAGAAAAATATCAAGAGAAGAGGTGTTAAGAAGCAGTTGTCAAAAAACATACTTCATCCTTTTTTAAAAGTTAGTAGGCTCACCTAAATTTTGGATGATATTCTCCCCTTCTGTGGTCCACCTCTCTGGTTTGATGGCTTGGATTGCCCATAGCCCTAGATTTCTGTAAAGGGGAAGATGTGTTTTTCTCAACTGCAGATTGTATAGTTGATTGCTTGAGTGGCAGAAATCGGTCCTTCTAAACTTCTAGACCTTTCAAATCTTCTGGCAAGATCAGTTAAAATATGGGATGTGCATATTGCCTTGATGGGCCAGCCTGTGCTCTGCTGGCTGCTCACAGAACTCAGAATCCAAAAAATAGAAGACAGTGAAGAAAAACTTTGATGACCGAAAACACAACACAATGTCTAATAAGACTCACAAGCTTTATTTCTGCTAGAAAAAAAAGAAAGTTAAAACATTCTCTTTTTTTTTACAAAAATTTTAAACAATTACTTGGCTTTATCTGATTGAGACCACTCTGGGTTGGAGAGTAGACTCTTCACAACCATACTACATTCCCAAATTCTCATTCAATTATAAAGTCCTTCTGAACAATTCCAGGGACATCTGGTTCATTAGAACCATACACCCCAAAGCACAAACAACTGACTCACCAAAAATAACTGGCTCATGTTAGAATGAAGAAAATACAGTGGGGCCTTGACTTACGAGTTTAATTCATTCCGAGACTGAGCTCGTTAAGGAGCTCGTTAACTCAAATTACTCTGTCAACTCAAAGCAAAAAATCTGCTGAGAGACAGCTGGTATCTCAAAAAACTCGTTAGTCAGGACACTGGTAAGTCAAGGCCCCACTGTAATCTAAAAATATCAACTTGCATAGCCATTCAAATTATTGCTGCTTTTTATTTTAAAAATGTCACTGCAGGTAATTCTGCACTAACTTCCTCCTTTTTCTCTCATCCCAAACTCAGAAATTCCCAGCAAAGTTGTGAGCTCTTTTCCAAATGAAGCCTTAAGGAGATTTTGCAAGCACGTGTATGGAACCTAGGGAGTTTGCATGAAAGGAAGGAGAAATAAATTAAATAAATAATATCTAATAAATAACTCAGACAACATTCATTATCTACAAACTTAAATGCCATAAAATTCCAGCTTCAAGGATAGATCCCCCACTACCTCTTACGAAGATAAGTGCCAATACAGACTCAAAACACATAGGGTGGCTTTGGATGCCAACCAAAGTGGATTTACCAACCGAGCATGTAAAATCCAGCAGGGTTGCTGTTGCAAGCAAAATGGAAAGAAAATAACTTAGACTGCAAGGAGATAATAAATAAGAGGGTAAGAAAGACAAAACACACAGGTAGTTTGGCAGGTTTTAGGGGATGGCTAAGCTGTAGAAAATGACACACTAGTCTGCCTTACCACTTTTATTCTTTGGCCCTAATTGTGTACTATGCACCCTAAGCATATCCTCTCTGGCAGAAAAAGAATGTGATCTGCTTTTGGTTTATTTTAAATAATTTCCCCTGCAGATTGACCAGGACAGTAACATTTCTCAGATCACATTTCTCTAAAAAAAAAGATACATTTGACAAAATAGTGCTGATATAAAGGAAAAAGGAGTTATATGAAGAAAAATAAACATCCTGTGAATTGGGATAAACTGTAATGCAGACATAGATTGGTAAAAGCATTCCCTGACCTTGGATTTAATGTCTGCATCTTTAAGTCTGATTACTCTAAATGTTATCTACAATATGTAATAATATATATTTTAAAGTGAGGAAGAGGTAACAATTAGTGGGGAGGAGACACAGAATTATATATATGTTGGGAAAATTCAAGTTTGGTCAATAAATTGATTGGTGCTTGTGCTTCCAGAAAATATGATATTGGTGTGGACAGAGGTCAGTGATTTTAAACATGTTTTCTTTAACAAAACAAACAAACAAAACTTATTGTGCCAAAAAAAATCTAGTGGTTTCCCTATGGGCAGTTGTGGACTAGAGAGAGTCTGAGAACTATTATACAGCTATAGTTAGTATAGCCAATAGCCAATTTATTGCTCTTGAATGTGACCTGTGTTGTTTGCTTATTCCAATAACAGGAACTGAGCTTCATCAGAATTTCCAGAGCCCTCTAGTTATGGATGCCATGAAATGGTCTACATGACTTTTCTAAGTCCCATTTGTCATAGGAATCTGAGGTTTCAATGATTAGATTGCCCTATCTCTACTACTAATAAAAGTGCTTTTGAAATGTTATCAAGAATCAAGGAAGTTATGTTCAGCTTTCAACCCAGCAAGAATATGGTTTGTTATTCACGGAGACAACCAACTTAGAATTTTAGCCTCTGGAGGCTATTTCTAGATGCAAAGAAGCCCAATCATTAAGTCCCCGAGAGTCATGCACCTGGTGCTCCTTTGGCAACTCTGTTTGATCATTGACATGTAGTGTCCATCCTACCATTCCTCTGTCCTTTCAGTTTCAAGAAATTTATAAAAGTAGTCACCAAAGTTAAAGAATTTCAGAACTGCAAAGGACTTTAAAAGTCATCTAGATTTAGAATAATTTTTCTGATTTTACCAGTAAGTAAAAAGAGTCCAGAAACGGAAAATTAATTGACATAGATCATTCAATAAGTTATTGGCCCCACCAGAATAGGACCTAGGGCTTCTGTTCTATTTCCACGTGATTGTAAACAATCAAATAATTTTCTTGAGGACCCTAAATAAAGAAATCAATACATTTTGAGAAGTTGATGAGAATAAAGAGTGACAGATGTAGGAGGACCTAAATGGACTGGCACTAATGTATTTGATATGTATCTAAAGGATTCCTTTAAGGTCATTGAATCTTCAGCTCAACCATTTGAATTATAGATAGCATCGCCACATCACCCTCTGAAATTCTGATCTTACTGCTCTACTCAGTGAAGATTGTATTGAGTTGAGCCCCAATGCCATGGTGGGGGTAGGAGTCATAGGACACATCTATGGGAATATCATAGCGAAGGGTACCAGCCTGAAAGGGAGTTGTGTGCATATGCCCTGAGCTGATATTTGCAGAGGGATAATGTGGCATGAAGCTGTAGGATTTATCCAGATCAGGAGAGCCATCTTGCTTCAAGGAGAAGTTCCCACTGATACTCAGGGGTGGAGTGAGTGGGCCTTCATAAGGTGGTGTACTGCAGTCAGGTGGATGACTCCCAAAGGATGATTCTCCCAAACTCTTGAACACTGGGGGTTTGAGATTAATAAAATGTGTTTCCATATGGCCATATGGAGGGCTGGGGAGCCCGGGAGACTGGTAGTTGAAGTTGTGGACAGAAATGGCAGAGTCACAAACAGGAGATTTCTCTTCATGCTTCTCCAGGAGAACAGACTGAGGACCCAATTGGAGGCATCCAGCCACCAGATTGCTTGTGGGCTGAGAGAGCCCTTTACAGAGCATCTCCACAAAACCCTTCCCTTCAGGTGTTTGGCCAGTTTCCAGGACCTCAGACAAAGCCCAAATATAGTTCCTAGCCAGTCTAAGAGTTTCTATCTTGGAGAGCTTTTGGGTCTTAGAGTAACACGGCATGACTTTCCTCAGGTTGTCCAAGGCATCATTCAGGCCATGCATCCGGGTCCGTTCTCTAGCATTGGCCTTGACTCTTCGAGCCTTGAACCTCTCCAGGCGAGCTTTTGTCATCTTCTTTTTCTTGGGACCTCTTCTCTTAGGCTTCTCCCCATCCTCTTCCTCCTCTTCTTCTTCCTCAATACTGTCATGCTCTTCAGCTAAGCTTCCAAGCACCCCATAAGCAGCTGGTCTTCTCTCCTCCTCCTTCATCTCATTCTGAGAACCCAGACCTTTGTCTATCCAAGATGGTGTGTTGACCAACTCTATCATCTCCTTGGGTTTCACATAAGTTTTTGCCATTTCTAGATTCTGGAAGAGAAAACAGGAAAGTTTAGTGCCTCTGAATATTCTATTTGATTTAAAACTAAACATGTTTTTATACCTTGGATATAAAGTACACTATTTGTATTGGGATTCAACTCACAATTATCTAGTCCCATGTCCTTGATTCTAAATAACTAATAAGACTCAAATAAATGCCCAGGACATTCATTTCCCTGTGGCATACTATAAGAAAATAAACTATAGAAAAAGTAAATTGACTTGATTATTTATTATAGTGTCAATGTCTGTCTTTTTATTCTCAGGATTTTTATCTCATGGATATTTTATGCAAAAATAACTGGTAAACCAATCAAAGAATATTTTTTTCTTCCCAGAATTCAGCTCATAAGGGGAAATAGATACAGTAGGCATGTAAATTATTGTCCAGATAGGGAAACTTCTGTAAGTCAAAAAGGATGTTAAAGTAAATATAAGTATTTAATGTGTACATAATAATTATAATTTTTGCAAAATGTAAAAGCATATCAAACAATAAAGTAAGCAAACTGTTGCATATTTACACCATAAGATAAATGAAACACTAAAGTGAGATTATTCAGACTACTTTGTATGAATAGATAATATTCACATATCCTCTATTTAGAGATATAACACATACCTCTAACATGTAACATCCCAATATCTCCTCTGACTCTGCCAGCTGTTCTTTCAAACATCTCCTAGGAGAGAGCCATGCCACAACTGGCTAGTATGCCACATGACCATGTAATAGTTCTCTCACCATCACCAGAAGAGCATTTTGTTTTTCAGCAAGCATGTTATGGTCCATCTAGTATTAGTGGTATTAGAGGTGTTAGTGACATGGTGTAGAAGGATCAGGAAAATTTGCCAATATGCTAAAATGAGAACTCTTCCCATTGCACATGCATCTCACGCCATCAGAAAAGGATATTCAGCAGCTAGAATTACAAACCAGAGGTCTACCAAACCTATTTAAGATTATTTTAATGCAACCACTATAATAATACTTCATTAAAAATGAAAAATCTAGAACAAATGCTGAACTTAACAGAACATAGTTACTGACAACATGAGGAGTATATCAGACAAACACAGAAATAGCCTGACTGCTTTCATTCACTTAACAGACACATCTTAATCAGAATTTTCTATGAAAAATTTACAAATTGAAAACATTTGTAAACCAGAAAAGACTGGTGGTTTAGTAAATATTTTACATTCAATTCTAGAAAAGCTCTGAATTATTTTGAGATTTGTTGAACAATTTCTGGGTGTATAATTTACCAAATAGAAGTATCTGATAAGCTCCATTGGGTCACCCCAGTTTACCAGCCAGTCTTTGAAATATTAAACTCTCAATCACCTCCATATATCAGAAAGAGGAGAGCATAATAAATGTTTTTTTTATCTTTGAAGCTTGAGCCTCAAATCAATGAATGCAGGGATTAGTACATAGCTTTTAAAAATATAAATATATGATTTGATTTGTTTCTGGTAATCTGAGCTTGTTTTCCTTGTAACCTCATTTACCTCCTATAAATAATTAATGTCACTGCATAGCAAAAACAGCCTAGGTTTCATGTTAATCAGCACGGAAATCATGTCAGCTTGACTTACTCACTTAATAAGGCTTTCTGAGTAAGCAGCTTTATTGAAAACACACATTGGAACCTATTGGTCAACTGGCTGCCCAGGCCAAGGAAGAAAATCCCACTTTTAATATGGATAATAGAGCTTGTGTGCTGAGCTGCACTTCTAACTCGGGCAGCGACCCAGAGAGAGGATGAAGGATCTAATTAACTTTCTGTTAAAGAAACACAGACCTTTCAATGGCAGGTGCACTCTGAGGTCAGTGAGGCTGGAGTGGGCTTGGGAAACCTAATGTTCCACATGTAATTATAATTACATTTGCATAGCCTTTCAGCAAACCTTTGAGAGAAATAGGGATTATTATGCTCATTTTATAGTCAGCGTCACTGTGTTCAGGTAGATTCAGTGATAGCAATGCAAAGACATAGAGCTGGTAGAGTTGGACATAGAACCAGTTCTGATTCCAAAACCTAGGTTTTATGTTTTTGTTTCTCTCTTTTTCCACCACAACTACAGGAAGGAAGAAAGGTACTTTGACTTCAGATGTGGATCAGTAGAGCTAAGTCACCAGGAAATAGCCATCAACCAACCAGAGGCTAATTTAGGTGTTCTCTACAGTGCCTTTCAGCTCCCATATTCCAGGATTCCTTCCTCTTCCAAAATTTTTCCTTGCTACTTTCATCCATTTATTCTCTCCCCCCCCCCCCCGCCACCTTCTCTTACTCTTGGCTTCCTTTTTCTCTTCCTTTTCTTTCTCTCATGACTTCTTCATCATTGCCATTACCACTGAGACACACATGGAGAAGTGAGAAGGAAGAGAAGAAAGATGCAAGAGAGAAGAGTCTATTGAATTGCCCCTGAAACCAAACCCCATCCTCGCCTCTGTGTTTGACCTTTGTTATCATCCTCACCTCCCTGCCTCCGGACTCTAGCCAAATTCTGCCAATCCTCATCTCCATCAAGTAGCGGAGCCAGGAGAATATAGGAGACTACCTTTTTCCTTTAACCATAATTTTATGGTTTCTGTAAGAGTCAAAGAGCTTGCCCTAGCCGGTTTGGCTCAGTGGATAGAGCGTTAGCCTGTGGACTGAAGGGTCCCAAGTTCGATTCCAGTCAAGGCATATGCCTGGGTTGCAGGCTCGATTCCCAGTAGGGGGCATGCAGGAGGCAGCCGATCAATGATTCTCTCTCATCATTGACGTTTCTATCTTTCTATCACACTCCCTTCCTCTCTGAAATCAATAAAAATATATTTTTTTAAAAAAAGATTCAAAGAGCTGCTCTCAAGTCAGATTGTCAGTGGGTATAACAGAAAAGAACCAACTGACTTTGGCGAAACAATTAAAAGGGCAACCAAGTTTCATCTTTGTTCTCTTACTAACCATGGGACAGATATAGATGGCTCCAGTTTAACTTTATCTTTTCCCAAAAGTACTGGTCCATTAGCTCTAAGAGAACCCCCTGTGTACATAGTGCAGTTTCAAAAGCATGGAAGCTGGAAAAGCACAGACTCTAGTCCCAGCTCTGCTAATTCCTGGTTATTGATCTCAAACACATTGTATAAGCTCTGATCTTCTCTTCCCTCTTTGATAAAATAAGGATAAGATATATTTTGCATGATTCTTGATAACAAGTAAAAATATGAAAAGAATTTTGTAAACTTTAAATGATATAGAAATATTATCATTATATTTATCTGTGCTTATTCTTGGGCTTTCTGATCTAATCCATTCACATATATCTGCTTATTCAAAAATAAAAATGGTTTCTCAGAGGTGAATAGGAAAAGCAGATTGTATTAACTACTGTGCTTCTTCTGATTGGCTCAAAAGATTATCTGACAACAGCCCAATACCCTACCCTTTTACCCAAAGTGACTAGACAGTACAGCTTCTGGAGTCAGATGACCTGAGCTCAAATTTCAGCTTAATTACTTAGTAGGTATGTGACTCATAACCTCTTTATGCTTCAGTCTCCTCTTTAAAATGAGAATAATAATGGTCCTACCTTATGGGGTTATTGTGAGCATAAAATGAGCTATTATATTTAAAGACTTTGAATAGTGCCAGACATCATAAATGCCATGTGTTAGCTATCATTTTTCCTAAAGTTCACCATGAGTTTTTCTGACCACATAGACAAAAATTGGTATAATTATGATCTGTGCTTAATTTGATTATATGGCAACAAAATTTCACTTCACCTCAACTCCCACTTCAAAATAGTCCCTGATATTCAAACTCCTAGTGAAACTAAGTACCAGAGCTCCTATTCTGTTTCAAGGGGTTCTATCAACTGCCTCTGCTGGATTGGCTACAACTCTCCCACCACATTCAAGGAAGTAAGCTTTTTTTCATTCTGTTTATAATTGGGAGGCAGCAGTTGGCCGGACATTCCTACTCAGTCACGTGAATTTTCAAGTTCATGAAGTTTCTGGTGGAATACAGACACCCATTGGCACTGGTACATTTTTCATTTTTGTCTTTGATTAAACTCTAACGGGGATATGACTTTCCTGCCAGAATCAATGACAGGACTCTGAGGAGAAAAGTGAAGTGTCTCTCAAATAAAAGTGAAAGCCAAGACTCCTCAAAGATTACATTTTTTCCCTTTTGCCTTTTCCACCTAAATACCTTTAATGCATCAACAGATAAGTAAGGGTGAGGGGAGGGACAAATATCTAGTTTTAGGTTTAAGAGTTGAAAATGTGTGTGATGCAGTTCTGAGTTTTGATCAAGAAAACCAATTGGGTTTTTTCCAGAACTGGTACCTAATTTTACTGTGATGGTTAGTTTGTTAATGAACCAAGTCAGAGGTGTATTAAAAGAAGCATGAGCACTGACCGGGTGGCTCCGTTGGTGGGAGCATCATCCTGTACACCAAAAGGTTGCAAGTTTGATTCCTGGACAGCGCCCATACCTGCGTTTCCCATTCAATCCCTGGTCTCTCTCTCTCTCTCTCTCTCTCTCTCTCTCTCTCTCTCCCCAAATCAATAAAAATATATCCTCAGGTGAGGATTTTAAAAAGAAGCATTAAATAGAATAATATTTTTATCTGTCATATCTCATTTAAAAGCTTTGATGAAAAGTAAGGAGATAATGAAAGCAAAAGTACTTTGTAAAGTTATTGTGCAAATGTAAGGGTTGGCAATTGTTTTACAGGAGTTATATGGAAAAACCTATAGCACTATTTCACAAGTATTGTGATATACCACTTTACATTTTCATAATTCCTAGAAAATAAATTAGCTTTCAAAATATACATGAAGGAGATTCCAGTATGACAAAAATCAGTGAATACTAGCTCTGGAGGCAGAATACAGCCTTCCTGACCCCCAAGCACATTCTGATCCTAAAAAGTCCATTTTAGCCTTTGATCTTGAAATTTAGATTTCCTTACATATTTACACAATATAACAAAAATTTCCCTTTTCTTTGGGATTCATGAAATTTTAGGTTTAGCCAATTTTCTCATACTCAAAATTTTCTCCTACTGTTTTTCATTTTTTAACCAGTTCTAACAAAATGTTTGCTTAGCCAACGATTGTAACTACCCAATATTTTCATTACTGGGGCCTGAGGTCATAAATTACTACTGTGTGGAGCTGTCCTGGAGTTTGCCCTACACTTTTACTAACTTTTATTTGCTGTGGAGAAGTTCAATGGGTAATAAGTGGGTAAGGAGTGCTTGCTTGTGTGTCTATGGTGATTAGACAATGTCTTTCCTCTTAAAGGCTCATTGTACTCTCTCCACCTCCTGATCCGATGACTACATCCTAAATACAACAGGAATGGGAATATTCAGGCCAATTTCTAAGGAATCTAAGGATCAGACAAAGTGCCTTGCTCAGTGTTTGCGCTGAAAAGGCAGAATGGAGACCAGGGTGCTCACAAGTTGCAGCACCTGAAAATAGCTAGTGGGCTGTCCTGTGCTCTTCCTGTACAATCTTTCATACTCTTGATAAAAACCTGGATACACACACACACATGCATGCATATGTGCGTACACACACACACACACACACACACACACACACACACTTCTTATCCAGCATAGCCATGTCATACTTCAGTTTTCATAGCCTTAGATCCTAATGGTGAACTTTGCAAACAGAAGTTAGTCAATCCTTCAGTTTCCCCTCCATGTTCTTCAGCATTTCATTTCTGATCCCTCTGTCAAAAAATGAGGGAGGCAAATTACATTTATTAGAACTTTTCTGAGGACATATTTGGAGTGAGCAAATGATATGTGAGAGGGGATAGAGGCTTGGAGAAGACAGAAATAGACGTGGACAATCTTTCCCTTCTGATTCCCCATCTGAAAGAGCTGAGGGAGAGGAAGTTTCCCTGCCTCTATTCCAATTAAGGATTTTTAGCAGATCAAATGGAGGCTACGGTGAGAATACTCTCATGTCTTTCCCACATCTTTTCTCATCCCATATTCTATTTTCTTTCCCCCATCCCCCCCCCCAACTCCTTTCAGAGCTCTAAAATGCTGTGAGCGAGGGGGGTGGGGGGGCTGATTGGGGCAGTTCTTTAAACCTACTTGCTGAGCCACCTGGAAAAAGCAAGTAAACTTTTTTGGACATCTTTTTCTACATTTATAAAACGGGAGGGGGATGACAGGAGGGGGGTGGGTGATTTGCAATCTCTGCTGTAAAAAAAAAAAATATTGAGAGTATCCGAGTTTCACTTTGGGTGACAGGTACTATGGGAATTAGTGAAATTGCTAAAATTGTAATATCTGTTCCTAAGTGTTCTGGCTCTCTCTGTTTCTCTATTCAAGTTTCCTAAATTCCACTCTCTCCTCACTTAGACCAGAAGAGACTTACCTTACCTCAGCTGCTCTTATAGGCCTGCAAAACATCCCACAAAAACTTCAGGAGTCCTCTCCCACCCCAGCTGCTGGCTCACCTTTGGCAGTCGCAGTGCCTGGCCTGAACTCTGTGAATCTGTGCCCTGGAGGAGACTCAGAGAAGCCACGTTTCCCTGACCGTCCAGGTCACAGGAGAAGGAGATGCTTTTATCGATCCATGTTAAACCCGGACACTGCCTCTTGGGAGTGCCACCAGGTCTGGTTTCTCTGGCTGCTAATTGTTTTACTCCTTCCTTGGAGCTCTTGGGGCCGAAGCTCCCGCTGCAGCAGGTTTAGTCGGTCTTCAGTACCTCCTCTCCCTGGTCAGTTCCCGGACTGGAGCTTTCAGGACCACAGCCCCTGGGCAGCTCCTGCGCTCTGGCCGCAGTCTCCCAGTGACAACAGCTTTGATTGCTTTCCCAGCTGACCCGGGAGGGGGATTGTGCCCGCGGTCTAACTCCTCCCCTTGCCCAGCCGAAAGACACACCTACTGTCAAGGGCTCCTCTGGCTAGGTCCCGCGGAGCTGTTTGTGTGTTCGTTTGTTTAAATGGGATAGAGGTTGGTAGAAGAGGAATATTGGAGGAGAGTTGCTGAAGTTGAGGTAAAAAAAAAAAAAAAGGACTGGAAATCTTTGTGGTTAAAAAGGAAAGAAATGGAAAGGGTGCAATGTGGGCAGACTGGGGAAAGGGAATTGGAGAGAGAGAGCTAAGAAGGGTGAATAAAAACTCTGGCCCACGTCTGAAGAGTGCCGAAGTGAGAAAGATGCATGCCCAGAACACAGCATCATGGGCTTACACGTGTGGATCCATGTCTTTGGATATAAAACTTTAGAATTCTAAAAGTAGAAGAAAGAAGTAACTCCCTCTCCCTTCGTTTCAACATGTCAAACTCCTCCCATTTAAAACCCTTTTATTTTATTCAGTAAATATAGACAAAGCCATATCTATATTCATTGTGCTCATCTTTCAACTTTTCTGTTTGTTTAAAATTAATAAAAACAAAAAGCGACCGAATGAAATCTTTCATTTTAAGAATGCTTACCTGCTTGAATTACAAACTGGCATCCACTATTGCTTTTCAAAAATGTATCATTAAGCATTCAGGTAGAAAAAGCCCTCCTAAGTGATAATGAAGTTGAAATAAAAGAGGAGTCACATCATCTCTAAAATTCCTGCCATATTATGGGGTAAGGCTGTGTTGCTAGAAGAGAAAAAAGAAAATTACATCTGGAAAGGTTTAAAGAAAGTACATGGATATGTTTATGACAGAGAGCTTGTTTTAGAGATTGCCTAGCTTATGTAAAACTTGACCAAGATCAAACAAATCGTTGTGAGTTCATTTTTAGAAGGACAGGGTTTTGTTCTCTTCGAGTGATTCCAAGAAGAAAGGAAAGAGTTCTTGGATTATGCAATTGGCTGAATGATCTTTAGTAATTTACTACCAGCATCAGTTTTCACATCTGTAAAATTACCTGATCACTTAAGTTTTTCCAGCACTTGTGAGATAGAATTCTGAGTCCAAAACTCAAACTCTTTTTGAAATTGGCTTGAAAGGAGTTCCCCAGGCTTTTTGGGAAGTCATTTGTTCAACCAGTATAACTGGCATATGTGCCTAATAGAGATGAAAAGCTGCAAATATGCCTTTTGTGTAAGGAAAGGTACGGAAGGTTAAAACAAACAAAAAGTAACTTTACTGCTGATAAAGCTAAAAGAAATACCTTAGCTTTGAAATACTTAACTTTGTTAAAAATTCTGATATAGGTGTCATACGAATCTTTTCCTTCACAGAAGACAAAGTAAAAATTAACACTTTTTCAGTTTTCATGGGAAGATACTCATCTTCAGCAAATCTTTTAAGTTCTTACAAAAAAAAAAATATTTCCTATCCAGGAAATATACTCTCATCAAAAGAAACTTTATGTTCAGAGTAATTAAGAAACACAAGCTAGGAATGGTGGATTTCTGAAAACCAAATTAGAATTCACTCTTCAGCCAGAGGAAATTTACTTGTGGAGTAATCGATATTTGGGATAGAGCTGCATTGAGCACATATAGAATGGATTGATCCCCTGCTCTGTGTCTTCAAAGCCACCTCCATTGATATTTGGCAGTTAATGATGCTGGTGCTGTTGGTCTCCTGCCTGTGAAATGTTCAGAGGGCCGGAAGGAGTAGTGGATTAGCAGAAAGGTGAACATATTGGGACAAAGATAAGGTAAGGACAGAACATTCTGTGGGGCTCCTTGCCTTCTCTGACAGATGTAAGGGACTGGACACAATAGGATTAGCTCTCAAAACATGTCCAACTGTGTGTATGTGTGTGTGTCTGCGCGTGCAGCCTTGGGAGGGAGCCGAGGAGGGCACTGAATTTTCTTGACAAGCTGCCTTTCGGAGAGGGAGGGAGGGAGCCTATTTCATCAGAGTCTCGTCATGACAGCTCCTAGTTGGCTATTCAACTCAAAGAGCAGGAAGAGGCCAGAGGCATGTGTGCAGTCAGCAGAGGAAAGGGGGCGGAGACTGAATGCAGGGCATTTGCATTCGTTCTCCTCCCCCCACATGGTTCCTGGGCCAGAGGGCCAATCTCCATCCAGCCTCTCCTTCTTTCTGTGTGGCTTTTTGTAAAGCTCTGAGCTAACCTGTTAGAACCATCTGCTGGGTGGGGAAAATGTAACCAGCGCTCAGTTGCCGGCCCTGAGCCCGGGAGCCATTGAAGCAGCAAGAAGGGAGGCAACAGGCAGATTTATGGGCAGCAATCTGTTCCCCACCCCCCAGGCCCTCTGCCTGGAGACAGCTTGATAATCCATCAACCCCACTAATGAATTAATTAGTATTCCCAGTAATCCCGACCCCCAAAGGAAACAGGCCTGTGGGCCCCTAAGGGGGCTAGAAACTGCCTTCTTGGAGCAGACACTGGAGACCTGGGACTGATGCCTGCCATTAGGCCCCAGGGTGCTAAGCTGCAAGCCACAGACCCTGTTGTTAACGATCCCCAGATGTCCCTCCTCACCTTCCCTCGGGAGACAGCTAGCTTTTGCTGAATTAAAACCAATACCACCAACAAATGGAGTCCAGAGCCATAAATCAGGGGCTATGGAAAGGAGGGCTGTGAACTTTCAGAAAGTGAGGATTTGAACTGCCCATATTCAGGGTAACCGTGAGCAGATCCTAAAGCTGCTCTCCAAGGGTTAGCATCTCCGTGCTCCAGGAGGGAAACGATGCAGGGTCAGAATGACTGTGAAACTGGTTGAGACAAAATGATTTGTGACATGAATCTGTTCTGAATAGAAACTGGAGTAAAACAGAGTTGTCATCTGAGTTTCTGAACAGCCTGTAAAATTCAATAACCCTCCCTTACAACTACAGGCTCCGTTCTTTTACAAAGATATAGGTGTCATACCAATCTTTTCCTTCACAGAAGACTAAGCTTTCTCACATCAGCAGTCAGTGATCAGGTTAGGTTATGATCTCTCCAGTTCTTTCTGGCTCTAACATTCAGTTATGATGACATAGTCAAATGTTACAATCCCCTTTTGAGACTAACCCTAGCCCGTTTAAAAGTATGCAGTCTGAGTCCCCAGGTTTGAATAAGGAAACGAACCAGGTTAGTGACAAAAGTGGGACAAGAAATCAGGTAGTAGACTTGAGTGTCTTCTTTCCACTCAGATTTCTGGTCTCTTTTGGGAAGGACAATTGATTCAACCTTCTTCCGCCCCGTTTATTCAACACATGGGCATTTGGGTAGTCACAGGGCATACAGAGTGACTCATTCCAGCTACCAAATAACTACCTGCTTTTGTGAAAAATCTGTTGGGAAACTTCTGCACCTTTGAAAGCTCTGTGCCATCTGCCTCCAACATCATTCTCTGCACTCAGTATCCCCAATTTCTAAGAGCAAAGTCCTCTAAGATTCAATTAAATCCTAACATTGCTATTTATTACTAACCATGCAGCTTCAGACCAGTTATTTTTCTGTTTGAGCCTCAGTTTCGTCATCTGCAAGTTGAAGGCAATAAACTTGCTCTGAGTAGTATATATATCTCATTAAATATGAGGTAAGGTATGTAAAATACCTAGTATAGATTCTGGCTGTCAGCAAATGCTCAATAAATGGTGATTAGTATTGGTATTTTGTCTTGAACTTTTAAATCTTTTACCCTTTAGAAATCAAGAAAAAAATAATATCAGGATTTTTTTATAGCAGTTCTATCTGCTTTTCTCAATAAGTATTTCTTTTTTATAGTAATGATCACATTATATTCATTTATCCAGCACATGTGTATTAGGCATATGTGCAGCCCTAGGCACTGCAAGATTCTGGGAATACCAAGCTCATTGAGATTTCTCATTCCTAATCAATGTTCAGTATAGTGGCAAAGGCAGAAAAGCAAACCATATAAATGTATACCTCAAAAACTCCACTACTCTGTGCTTTTCTAGCATAGCTACATGTGCTCAAGGAGCCATGTATGAAGCAGAGATGTTCATTGCAGTATTGTTTTTAATACTGAAAAAGTACATTATATTATATCTTAAGTAACTGGTGGCTTAGTTAAACAATAGAATACTATTTAATTTCCAGTGAGTTGGTCTATATATATTAATAAGAAATGTACTTTAGCCCTGGCCCGGTGGCTCAGTTGGTTGGTATGTCATCCCATACACCAAAAGGTTTTGGGTTCAATTCCCGGTCAAGGCACATACCTAAGTTTCAGATTGATTCCTAGTCAGAGTGTGTGCAATAAGCAACTGATCAATGTTTCTCACATCAATTTTCTCTCTCTCTCTCTCTGTCTCTCTGTCTCTGTCTCTCTCTCTCTCTCTCTCTCTCTCTCTCTCTCTCTCTCATCAATAAAAACCTATCTTTGGGTGAAGATGAAATAATAATAATAAAAAAAAAAATATGTACTCTGTATTAACATATTATGGGGAGAAATGTAAAACAATTCTATAGATATATGTTCAATATGATACATTTAACTGTTAAAATATAAGTATTAAATAATAGTTATATTATTCACAAACACAAACTAATAACAATGAGTCTTTTTATCAGGATATCTCACTACTGAGATTAAGTAGATTGAGATCTGGATAGTTATCAAAGGAGATTGTCTGCTTTCCATAGAAGAAAAATTGTTTTCTTTTATATATGAATAATGTATTCATATATAACTTATAAAAATAAAATTGATATTAAAATATGCTCTTTTAAAACTTCCATTCCCCAGTTATAGCCAAATATTCTCAGGAAGTATCTGATAGCCCCCAACTCCAAACACTGGGACTGATGGTATAACTATCCCATGAAAGATCACTGCACCAGCTCCCACTAGCTCTGTCCTCACACTCTCAGTCCCAGAAGCATTTACTGGGTCTTA